TAAACCTAACGATCATTTACAGTAATTACTCTTTTGTACTATTGTATGTCATGGTAGGTACCATTAAAATGAAGAGAAATTTGGTTGTGTTTTTCTAAATAATGAAATATAGTAAAGTAGAATCTATTAAAACTGTGATAGAACGACATCTAATTTTAGATAATCAATGTTAGACTGCCATTGGAGAGCTACAAGAACTGTGTGGCCGTATTGTCCTAATGTGGGACCTACTGTGATGTGTGCTACTTATACGAACGATATAAGTAGTATAAGAAGGGGCGTGAAAGAAGAAGTCTCACGGTCAGAAGAGGAAAACAGAAAGTAAATGAAGCAAAAGCAAGAAGTAAATGGAGTACCAACAGGAAGGAAAGTAAGCAACAACAGGAATGGAAGAAGGATCGAGTGTTGGAAGTCACAACTCAAAGATGATGTGCATATAGAGTGTTTAATGTAATGTTGTCGTTTTTAATTGACTCAGAGTGTAAATTTGCAGAATACAATATTCCGCGCCAGCTTCAGTCTTCTCACTAGTGTTGTTATAAATCTTCCTTAGTAAACCTAGCTATTCCTATTGCTTAGTATTCTTTGACAACAACATACTAAACAACTCCTCAAATAAGAACACGGTGGGATAGGACAAAGATCATATTGCAAATAGCAAGGTTAAATGGAAGTAAGAAACCGAAGTGAAGGCAAAATAGGAACAACGTTACTATCTTTATAGTTTGTACACGTGAAGCTTCTGGAATGTAAAGCAACTATCACTAGTGTTGATTGGATAGGAACTGGTCGAAAAGCGTTCAGCTAACGCAGTCATGCTTTAATCCATTTATGTCCCGCTTACAGACGTATTGTCTTAGTATGGGCCTTCCAGCAGTGGGTATCCATGACCCCACAAACGGGAATCAAACTTGGAACCTTCAATCTCGAGCATGAACACTGAAACTCTAGACCACTGAACCGACATTTAATGGTTTTAATGTCTATGTTTAATCAATCTGAGATATTTCACGACCTTATCCATTGTCTTCCGTGGGTAACTGTCAAACTCTTGATAAGGTTGAACTCTACTGGTCATGGCTTTTCACTAGAACTCCGAGATTAGAGTCAGACATTGATACCTTTGAGTGCCAACTCAGCAGTTTACTATTGTGTGAATAAGACTAATCACATTGAAATATGATTATGTTATGTTAAAATATTAGCCTGACAATCATTTACAGTAATTACTCTTTTGTACTATTGTATGTCATGGTAGGTAACATTAAAATAAAGAGAAATTTGGATGTGTTTTTCTAAATAATAAAATATAGTCAAGTAGAATCTATGAAGGCTGTGATAGAACGACATCTAATTTTAGATAATCAATGTTAGACTGCGATTAGAAAGCGGTCGTATTGTCCTAATGTGGGACCTACCAGTAGTGTGTATCCATGACCCCACAAACAGGAATCGAACCTAGAAACTTCGGTCTCGAGCGCGAACACTAAAACTCTAGACCACTGAACCGACAAATAATGGTGTTAATGTCCAAGTTCAATACATCTGTGATATTGCGCGACCTCATACATTGTCTTGGGTGGGTAACTGACACGGTTGAACTCCACTGGTCATGGCTTCTCACTAGAACTACGAGATTAGAGTTAGACATTAACAACGTCGAGTGCCGATTCAATGGTTTAGAGGTTAGGTGTTCACGTGCGAGACTGAACGTCCTGAGTTCGATTGCCGATGATGTGATCGTAGACAGGCACTGCTGTCAATTACTATTTTATTATTCAATTTATGATACATATTCACACCATTGAGACACTCGATTTGTTGTACGAATCGATCAGTCATAGCATTTTCTAACGACACTGACAAACATGAATGTTAAAAAACTAACCAAGTTGCTTCCTGCTAGGATATTTATCCAATATGCTAAGAGAATTATTGGTCTATTACTAATGGTTAA